GCTAAATATGGTAACTTTTACATCTAGAAGTCACTACAGCATGTCTTTGGGGTCCACCCAAAGTCATTCTTGAGAAGTTCAGCAAACTTACTTGTTCCATTCACAACTGTAAAAATGATCATATACTGCATCCTCTTTTAAAAGGGCCTGAGCAATACCAGCTGGGAGACACACAGCTATAACTGTCCCTTTACTTCTGTGCCGAGGAGCCTTAAAGAGTTCCAAAGAAACATATGGACCATGAACTGAATTGGTCAAATGTTCCTGTTGTGATTGTTCCGCAATATTCTTCAGCTGATTGATCTTTTGGTCAAATCGCGCAGCAATCCGAGCTGTCGTAATTTGCTTCTCTTTGTCCAATAATGACATTTCCTGCTTCATCAAAAGTCGAAGACGTGTCATTTGAATCTTGTGTTCTTCTTGAATCTGCAAAATTAATGCTTTTTGATAATCTGAGTTGAAGTAGAACTGTTTATGAAGGTCATTCAATTCAAGATCTTGCTGAAACTGTAATTTACGTATTTGTTCCCTGTGAGCTGAAGCCAATTTGGACAACTTTATGTTAATAGGTACAGATGCAATTTCAGCTTCCTTTTGTTTTTCAAGAGCATGTAACTCTTTTGCCACCTGCTTCTGGACTTGTTTCCTTGAATCTAACAGTGAACCTAGTTGCAAATTTGCTTCAGTATCCAAAGTACAGTATCTTTCTCCTTGTAATTTTGATTCAGTTTTCTTTGAACTATTTGGATGATATGCAAAAAGTGATGTAGTCAAATTAGTCTCAGGTGTCTTTGTCACACTACACTTCCACTTTTTCTGAACTTGTTGTATTAACTTATTTCCTTCAAGAGTCTGACACAATGCTGCATGTTCTTGCATCAAAGAAACAATCTCCATTTTGTTCTGGTGCTCTTTATCTTCTACTGTAGTGACTTCCTCTTTTTCCCTTACAGAATTAGTTTCATCGTTTACTTTGACATCAGGATGACTCGATGCCTTACTTGTAATAGTACTTGTAGCTCCATGATTCACCACAAAAGTGACTTTCGGGATAAAAAAATCTGTCTTTTTCTCAATGTTGTTACTCTGATCTGAGAAACTATTTCCATCTCTACCCATAGCAACATTAGTAAAGAATTCTGCCACTGGAGCTTCCTTATTTCCAACTGCTTTTTCTTTTTCACCTCCTTTAGGAAACAACTGTGAATTTCCCATCTGTAGCTCAAGTTTATCATTGCTATTTTTTATATCGTCACCTGCACCGATTCTATTTGAAGGGGAGAAAATTTCCGATTTCTCATCTTCTGTTTCTTTACTTCTTCTAACTTTCTGTGTCTCTAATGGCAGTCCCACATGATGAATTTTCAATTTTCTTGATAACTTTTCAGCATTTTGTACTGGAACTAGCAAACTCTGCAAAATTACTGCAGAGCTTGGAACTACATCAGAAACAGTACCGATTTCTGAATCTCGACTGGATGAATGCATCTCAATGTTTACAAAGGCATTACTGGAAGATCCAATCTGCTGTTGTTTCACTCCGTCATTTAAATGTATAACATCTCTGTTCTTTATCTTCTGGTCTGCATCTTTCACATCTTCATTATTCATAGAATTTTCTTTAGTTTCTGGGGGCTGTGAATTTGTTTCAACTTTGCCTTGATCATGTGCAATTTCTGCTGCAATTAACAAAATGTTACTAACTGCTTCTGACTGTTCCTCAAGTGGTACCTTTGTTTTTTTCTTTTTTGTGTGTCTTTTCTTCTTGGTTACTTTCATCTCTTCTGAGATGGGTTTTGTCTCAATCTTATTCATTTTCTTTTCTTTCAATTCAACTGGATCAATGTCTCGCATCAAAACTTTTCCACAGGACATAATTTTCTCCAATTTTCTTTTTCTTCTTTTCTGCCTAAGTTTAATTAACATATCTGAACTGAGGAAAGTATGTATTTCTGGTGTGGATGAATCAGTACAAGCTTCAGCTTTGGGTTTTGCAGTACAAATTTTGCTGGGTAATGTCTCTTCTGTAACTGATTTCCTTGTACTATCCACTGTTCTATTGTCCTTCTTAGAAAACATATAAGTATGTTGTTTCTCTTTTGTAATTTCCGGTGATCTAATAAGCTCAAATGAATCAATGCTCGAGTTCAAAGCTTTATAAATATCCTTTTCATGCCTTATGCTAGTGGATAATTGGGTTTTTTCTGGCATAGTTCTTTGTTCATATTCAGTCTCATCACTCTTTTCTAGTGTGGTCGTCTGATCAAATACCCTTTTATCAGATGTTGCTAGCAGTGTTGTTTGATCAAATTCACAATAGTCAACACCACTGACTATTTCTCCACTTTCCAATTCTGTGAATAAAAATGTTTGTGAAGACCATTTTCTTGAATCAACAGCCATGTCCTTCTTGTCATCAGATAACTGTTTTTTTTCGGTCTTCTCTAATTCACCCCCATCAGTACTCCTAACTAGTTCTGTGTTCAACCCAGGAAATAAACATTTTGTTTTCATGTTAAGATCATAATTCTTCTCTTGTGATACCACAATTTCTTCTTCGTGAACAGTATCCTCAAGCAATGTGTTGTCCATTTCATCATCCATGTTATCTTTGAGGTGGTCCCTTTTGGTCAGCGTTTTGTCTTCAACTTGACTACACTGAGCATATGGAACAGTGTCTAAACCTAGCAATGTAATCTCCATCTTATCATCAGTTATCTCATTATCAGTTATTACATCTTCTTCTAAGCCTAAAATATCCTCTGACACATCTAGTATATCCTCCTCCAAAACAGACATGGAGCGGCTGACTGAAACATCCTTAAAACGTCCCAAAATAGGAGATGAACAAACTTTCTTTTTATTTCTCTCCCTACACTTTTCATCCTCTTTCTTGTTAATTATGGCGCTATTTCCCTCCACAAGAGAAAGTATATTAATTTTGCTCAATGAAGCATTACTCTTAGCCAGAAAAATCTGGTTGGGTTTCTGACTTGGATCACCTTTACATAAGGCAGCAAAACCAGAAATGTACTGAGAGGAAGTGTTTTTGTTGACATGTTTATATTCCAATGTATGATCATCAATATCACTAGCCAGATCACTGTACAATTTCCTTAATGTCTTTCGTACAACAGAACTTTTGGCAAATGTGGATGAATTTGGAAATTTTTTATGTCTACCCAGTGGTGTACTATGTACAACCTTGCATTCAGACACATCATTATTTATTCCAGGTATAGGAGTAAGGTTGCTAGTATCATTTCTCCAGTCATTCTTGGGTATTGGTGAACAATCAAGGGAAGAAATTGAAAGATTTTCATTTCTGAACTTCTGAGCTTTGGGTGTGCTTTCTGATGAAATCATAAGTTCAGTTGTAACAACTTTCTCCACATCTTTTCCTCCATCAAATGAACACACATTATTATCACTGGCTACCTTGCTTCCAGTCATAGTGGTGAATGTACTTGAATATTCTTTACAAATATTAGTTTTACAACATGTGCATGCAATAGTGTCTGTTGTGGAACTGGCAACCACAAATTTATCACCGTTTCTATCAGATTTACAAACAATACAAGTTCCATTGTTTTTAAATGACTCTTTCATTTTACATACATCACTTGATACACTTGACATGCTACTGGTAAGTGTGCTTGTATTTGCCTGTAAAATAGAGGCATTAGGGGAACAAAGATCAGTAACTGTCTCTTTATCAAATACTTCTTCAATGGAATATGGTTTCTCTACTGATGTTTTATGAATGACAAGTTCAGGAGATGCCTGTCCCCTTGTTGCCTGGTTTGGAGATGAAGTCACGTTTCCAGAACTATCTGATGAAAGAGATGGATCTGAGATTAGATTAATAATGCTATCTTCAATTACCTGTGGAGATGCTCTAGATAGTCCAACAAATATCACAGAGGAATTTCTACCACCAGATCCCATGTTTTCAACCATCGAATCTTCATCTTCAGAACAAAGTTCCAAAATTTCATTATGCAGCTGGTTGATTTCTTGTAAAGAGTCCCTTCTTGCTTCTGACATTTTTTCTGAAATGAACAAAAGAAATTAAGTCACTTTTGACCTTGTGACTGTGTTCGTGATATTTTGACCATTCACAAGCAAAGTATGGGATTTGTCAATTTTCTGGGAGGTCTCACAAGCATAATTTTAATATTACGGTCAACTACACATGACAAAAATGTTTTAGTTAAAACATCATGTCAGTTTTAACCATCCTTACAAAGGTATAGAAGTTTATGACAGCAAAATGCTCCAAGACAAAGTCCGAGTTCCTGATGGTCTAATTGAAAGTGTGGTCCCTTTCTTAACTATGAAACTGCTATCTTTAAAAAACTGTACATAAATGATATGCAACCTCTTTGACCCTTTGGCTAAATAGGTAATTTATTGTGATGGATGTCTATGTGGTGTCCTAAGCTTTCTCCAAGAAATATTCTGTTAAGAAGTTGCCTTGATTGATTAAAAAAAGCATGCAACTCTAGGTCTACATAAATAAAATAATGTTAATAAGCTAACCTGAAAATTACATTTTTTAATGTAAGTAGGTTTTCTGTATGCAATTGCCTAATTGGAACAACATGACACAAATGAGACATTCATTGGACCTACTTGACGTTTACCATAAGGTCTGTACCTTTGAGTTACAATGAGTGTTTTTATAGTATGGAGAATACTATGCACATAAACATACTGATATAAACAGTGATCTATATGTATGTATTAATTAGTTATACTTGTGTGTGATTTGGATTTTTAACGTAGCTTAAACAATTTTTTAGTCATATCACTATAATGTCTGCAGTGTAGCAGTTTATAGTGATGTCTAGCACTGGAGCATCATACTGCAGACATGTAGCATTATGTCCTACCCAGTCACATTATCTAGACACAAGGCTGACCATTCCTAACACTAACCTCTAAATGAAAGTGCCAAGGGAAACAGCTGTTAGTACCACTTTTATAAATCTTTGCTATGACTCAGCCAGGGATCGAACCCATGACCTCCTGTACCTGAGGCAGATGATCTAACTACTAGGCCACTGGAAGGGTCCATTTATACTTGATTTTCCAAATTTAGTATATCTACTAACCATTTATAGATTTGTACTATCATTCCTACCAACTCCATTAAGATGAATGGAGCAGAATTTGTGTGATTTCAATTTTTTAATGTAGCTTTTAAATTTTGTTTCAGTCCTATCATTACAATACCTGCAGTATGGCAGTTTATACTGAATTTTAGCACTGGGGCATCATGCCGCAGACATGTAGCATGATGTCCCACCCAGCCACATTATAATGACACAATGCCAACCAGTCCAAACACTAATCTATTAATGCTGAGTGCCAGTGAGGCAACTGCTAGTACCATTTGTATAAGTCTTTGGTATGAATAGGCCAGGGTTTGAACCCACAACCTCCCACATCAGAGGCTGATGGCTTAACCACTTAGGCCACTGAAGTGGTCCCAGAATTCATCAAGCATCTTCATTAACCACAACAAACTTCTTCTTCGTACACTGTCATAGGTGTCCATAGGATATTGTTTGGGCAGGGGAAGCCATCACAAGAACACTCACTCTCACTGTCCAAAACCAGTACAATGAATGCCTGCTTGTGTTTAATTGTCCTCTTTTTATGGACTAATTGGGCTTGATTCACTCTGGAGACTATTGAGAAATAAGTCTAAATAATCTGGACTTGTGGAATAGTACACATTCTTAAACAAAACATACTGTACAGAAAGCATTTGACTTACCATGACCATAACCTGTAGACCCTCCAAATCAAGCTTCTTTCTTAATCAAAGTGTACATGTTGGAGAACTGAATATTATCTGTAAAAATATTTTACCCCAGTGACCTGCCCATTACCACAAAATCGATAGTCTTCTACCTGACTCCAAGTGTCAGCCACTAAAATTATTAATGAGAAAAAAATATTTCTTTGTTCATTCCATGACCCTGACATTCTCAATTCTAGTGAGATCATCTGACAATTAGTAAACAAAATCTGTTAGATCAATTAAAGCACTTATGCAGTCATTTTTAATACCATTCTAGAATACAACATATAATGATAGCTTTGTAAAATTGAGCTTTTGTTACATGGCATTTTTATTATATTACATTTATGTTAATATAAAATCACTATTCAGAAATCAAACTAATGTTTTAATATTTTTATAAATTATTAAACTAAATTATTGCAAAACTGTCAAAGGTTTGGATGGAAATAAAAAAGTTTGGTTTACTGGTTTGAGATTTTCCTCAAGATAAAAAACTTCATCAATTACACTAAAGTATGATCTGATATTGTGTTACTGATCAATAATTTTAACAGAATTCATTTGGTAAATATAATGTGATGAAAACAATTTGCTTAAGAAATCTTTAAAAGCCATGGCTCAACTTATATACATTAGTGTCTGACAATGTTGAAAATTGTCACATTGGTTTGATTCAGGAATAATATCAAACATAGTTTCAAACATAATAATTAAAAAATAACTGTTTTATTTATTGCAAGCTTCAAAAAATTATTTTGGTTAAAAAAATAAATTAAGGCAATGGCTCATATCTATTTTGTTCCAATCTGAACTAGAAATTTAAGAAGAACAAAAATTAAAGACCTGAAAATACACCTTTAATATTCCCTTACTTTTTATGGCAAAAATGGTAATGGCTACTAACATAAATAAACCAGGCATGTGTGTTCATTTTGTTATGGTACAAATCAGCCTGGCATTTGGTCTGAATCAGCCAGTAATTTGGTCTGAATCAGCCAGTCTAATTCAGACTACAGTATATTCATGGCATGAAGATATAATTATAGTTAGTTCTACATATCATAGTGAAAATGTAATGTCAAATAGTATGTTAATATCAAACCAAGATTCCAAAAAATCTGATTTTCAGGAAAATCAGCTTCAATGTTTATTTCTTAAAATTGGCTTAAAAATATAAATCTGCACCTTTTAGCTGCAGTATTTAAATACAAGTAAATTTCAAAGATATAATATCCACAATTTGATTGTCATTGTTTCTATCAAGGAAATCTACTTTCATGCTATTATATGACAGTGGATACCCTTGGCCAATGAAGAATTATTGAATTTACTAAGAAAAAAAATACTTTGATTTTTGTGAAAAAATAAGCCACACATTTGCTTGTCTTTATTTATACTTGAAAACATAACTTCAAAAAGATAAAAAATGCCTTAACAATATACCCCACTTTAATTACATTTGATCGCTTACTACTGTATTTTTAAAAATTCAGTCATTTTTTTTTAAAAAGTTTGCTATCATTAAAAATGTAATTTCAAATATTTAATGTTTTTTATTTTTTTACAACTATGCTAAATTTTAATTCTACACTTCTTTACAACATTTACCTTGTCATAAAGCATATTCATCAATGCAACAAGCTTTCTTTAACACCTGATGAATGGGTAGTCAGAAGAAGAAACTGCAGTTAATGCATGCACAAAAGATACACTTTATTCAACCAAGGACAACAACAACACTTTTTCAAAAGGTCTATAGTCATTACTCAGATCCATTGTTATCAATGGATGCCTTTAAACATATAGTTATAGCCAATTAATAAATTCAATTTCCTTTTTAATGAAGGTAAAGCATTAAATTTTGGATATTCATGACAGACACAAATACATATAAAATTACAATCACTAAGTATTTGTTGTATTGCTGCAGTGAATTGAAAGCTGACCTCCTTTGTATTATCCCATTAATTATGTCTTTTGAATCAAATAAAGGAGCTGGAATAAAAGAAAAGTTAGAACACACAAATAATCCTACAAACTTAAAATCTAGTGGCCCCGGTCGTATGTCAGATGAACTCACTTCATTTGATCAATCACTGTTATGAATGGTACTGTATATGTAACATAAACTAAAATTAACCAACTCAAGATACAAAAGCAACCAAGTGAAATTAATTCTTTGTAAAATAAAGAGTTTGGTTTCAGATACGGACCATAGCAGACAATTGAGTTTCACCAAATTCTTGAACTGGCAGAGTTATCCTCAAGGATAATAAGTTTTATTATTACTTATTTATTATAACTAAACAATGCAAAACTTTAGATCTGATATGGACAATTGTCTCATGAAATAAATTCTGCTTGTTTTTTTTAAAAAAGAAATCTTGTTTGGTGGTGTAAAGACTGTTAGTCTAGTTCTCTGCTCTTTTGACTCCCAGTTTGGCAGGATACTATTAACTCATTAATCCCTGAGTCAAATAGCTAGGCAGTGCCCACCAACATACTTGCAGAGATCACCTTGACCAGTGTTAGTCTTACCAGAGCCTGTATCCCTGAGACTTGCTAACAGCACTTGGCTTGCATATTTTTCCGGAGGGTTTACTTCTGTAAATTTGTTATTATTTTATTTATAATCGTTTAATTAGGCTGAAATTGGCACAACAGTTCTCAATAAAATTATGTACATAACGGTATGAATTTCATGCTACATGCAAAAAAAAAATCATGCATAAAGGTGAAAAAAAATGATGTACTTATCAATTTCTTTCTTGTGCCATGAATAATCCATAAAGTCCATTAAAGATACACACACAATAATTGACAAATAAAATGATTATATTTTATGTACACAGAAATTCCACTTGTCATCTCTTGTAAACTTAACCTCCTGTGAATACCATTCAAAGATGCACATATTTTCCTTGCTCTTAAATTATCTTTCTTCCTTAGAATTCTCACTAAAAATTTAAAACCTAATAAAACACTTAATAAAATTTTAACTCATTCTCATCACGTTCGCTGTTATCATCAATAGCTATTTCGATTTCACTATCAATCTCATCCAATAAAAATCCTGAAAATTCTCCATCAGAGTTTATCAAGCAAAAGTCTGCTCCAACTGGCTGATTCCCGTCAATTTGCATCAATTTTGGATCTAAATATCTTCAATATTTCTGCCACTATAAATAAAATTTTTCCCGTGTTCAAAAGTGTTCAAACTATGTAAGTTAAAATTTTATTGGTTCAACTGCCTGCATAATTAGGAAATGGCTTGAAATCAGCCAATGAATTGCAATGACTTAACTCGTCGTGCAGGAAATAAGCCATGCTAAATACTGCCACTCAACCTCTGTGCCCAGGATACTAGCTAGGTAAACTCTGCCACGCTACTGAGGCGCTCGGGAGATGAAAGGAAAAGTGATGAGTTATTGGGGCATCAGTTGTTAATGAGTTAAACATCACTCCAGGAACCAGACTCATCAAGAAAACAAAAAGCAGTGATGCAATACATGTTTTCGTGTACATATGATGGTTGTTGAAACCAGTTGGAATGATCTTTCACATGTTGGACATTTTTAAAATAAATGTTATTTAAACAGAAATATGAACAACTTAATTAAAAAAAGCTTGTTAAAAATTATTATTGACGTGATTGGAAAATGAGCATTCAGTCATTAAAAACCGCCCAGTTTCATAACTCCAACCAATCGCCATCTGCTGTTTTCTCGATGTCTAAGCAAATTTTTTCAACTTTGGAGGTCTCTCTGTAACATGCACCCTAGCTTATAGTGCTATGTTTTTGGACCCAGTTTTCGAGGAAGTGGTGTAAAAAGTTTTGTTGTTACCATAGAGAAAATTGAATTCCTTAGAAGTAACAATTGCTGTGTATAAATACTAAGCAAATAGAAAAAATCTCTGTAATTCACTGTCATCAGTGCAACATTATCATAGGACAAGTTAGATGTTGCATGTTCATTATCTCAACATAAGAGTAAATTAACAAAATTAACAGCATTTGGATTTAATGCAAAGTCATCGGATAACACAGTCTCTGAACGTGATGTTATTCCTGACAGACCAACATTTTTTACGTGTAGTGATGGTAGTAATAATTCAAGTGCAACACCACATCATGATGAACGGGGAAAAATTTCTATAAAATTTCTCGAAAGCTGGAAACTTTGAATTCAATGGCTTGGATATGATACAAGTAGATGTTCAGTAATATATGTATCAAGGCACAATTGTCAATTTTTTTACAA